GCAGCGATGCAGGGCGCGCAGCAGGGCCGTGCCCGTGCAGGCAGCGATGCAGGGCGCGCAGCAGGGCCGTGCCCGTGCAGGCAGCGATGCAGGGCACGCAGCAGGGCGGCCGTGCCCGTGCAGGCAGCGATGCAGGGCACGCAGCAGGGCCCCGCTGCAGGATGCAGCGCGTGCGAGGCCAGAGCAGCTCCGCGCGCTCGGTGCAGCAGTGCCCTCTCCTGCCCGCGCCGCTTCCCTGCCGCCGGAGCAGCCCGCCGGGCCGGCCGTGCCTTAAGACTCACAAGCTAAATTCAACAAGCGATCTGTGGTATGCTCTTTCCTGCCTTTTTTTCTTTGCTGACATATTAATGATGTTTTCTAATTTAAAATTATCTCTTATTGCTGCAAGAAAGTATTGCTACCCCCTTGAACATTTCTGTTATTAACTCATAGTTTGCTTTGTCTCATTGCTTGTAAGCTGTTTTTCATCTCATTCTTGATATAAATAGTAATTTCTTTTGCTTGTGTTTTCTCCCCTCTCTGCAAGCACGCCTTTCATATAATGATTGAGGTAAGATGCATTGATGTTTGTTCATGGTTATGAACTTTCTGTGCACATGTAAGAAGTAGTTGTGGTCTGAATTACATTTTTTTTTTTCAGCATTTTTGGATCATAAATCTGTAAGCATGCTTGGGGTAAAAATATGGATTTGGCCATAGCTTTCATAAAATCCACTGTAATTTCTCAGGCTATCGAGTTAAACACCTGCAAGGAAAACCCTCTTTTAAGCTTGCTCTGATGTTCTTGCTGTCCAGAAGTTTTTTTCTTTTTTTATTTACATTAGATTATTGATAACTTATGTGAAACTGCAAGTAACTTAAAACTCTCCATTAAGAAATGTTACTCACACTGAATGGAGAGCGTTAATGAATATAGAAAAAGTCAAGGTTTGAGCTGTAATGAACACTCAGTATTTATTGTCTGTGTATGGCCCTGCTTGGTAGCTGAAACACTCCATAAATATACACAAATATATACCGTTTAGAAGAAAATAGATTGTTGCTATTTTTCCCCCAAGTGTCTTGCATCTCCAAAGAGTTATTAGAAAGTCTCTCCATTCGTAGTGACTATTTTACTTCAAAGGAAATAATTGCAGCTAGGTCAGAAATTTCCTGTTTGCAGCTGACTGCCGTGTATGTGTTACTTGGGGAAAGGGGTTGTGATGCAGAGCCAAACCTGGAGGATTTTCTTGGAGTAAGAAGGAAGAAGAAAAAAATATCCATTTTAAAAAGGTGTTGGAGGGACACAGAAGTGGATAAAAAGATTTAGAAGTGTGATATAAATCAGGGAATTGGGGTTAGATTTGATTGCAGAATTTGAAAACTGTGGCTCCTTCCACTGCTTTTGCATCCAGACTTCACAGATAACCTGATAAAACCAAACGGGCCCCAAAGCAGAAAGGGAGAGAACAGCTGAGCTTGTGCTGGAGCTCTTTAAAAGAGAACTTGCTAAACATGCCCACAAAACAAGCTGCAGAATCAGTATAACCGGAACCAGTGTAACCAAATAATGCACTTTCGGCAAGGAGAAGGTGCCTGGGCGCCGCAGGGCTCAGGGCTGCCGCCCCGTGTCGCGGCCGGGAAGGGGAGACGTGTTTGTGCTGCCGCTTTGGGGGGCTGGACGCTTTGCCCCCGCTTCGGAAACACACGGTGAGGGTTTTGGTTCAATTGCCCTGTGAAAGGAGATGGGCCTGAACTCCAGGGCTGCCGGGCTGCACTGGGACAGGCTTTTAGGAGGCTGCTCCGCTTGTTGTATTTTTAAAGGATTTGGAGTCTCGTATTTGTTCATCTTCTGTCAGGTCCCAGTCCGCTCTGTAAGTGAGGTCGGGCAACCTGCCGCTCTGGCCGGTGGCACTCGCACGGTTTGTTAAATGGTGCCTTGCTCCGTTCAGCAGCGTGACCGGTACGTGCTACCTGGCAGGGAAACAAAACTGCCGGGTGCAAAATCGACCACAGAGCCCTGTTTGAAATGGAAAAGGCAGCGGAGCCGAGTCCGGCGGTGGGACAGGGACAGCCAGGACAGGGGAAGGGCTCCTTGCTTCCTTGTGGGCTCCCGCCAGCTGGGCCTGGCTCCTCCATGGATCTATTCACATTGTGCCTTTATTCCTGCCCTGCCGGGATCCCTGAGGTGAACGGATGAAAACCATTTTGCTGGGACACAGTGCTAGTGACTCTGGTTAGAAGCAGGATACGTTGGGAATGGCCCAGGGATGTTTGTGCATTGAAATAGGATTTTCGGTCCTAGAGTAAATGCCTGCTCATTTGGATGAAACTGTTTAGAAATAAACAGCAATAGAGTGAATAATGTTGTTTATAGCTCGGTTAACAGAATTGCTTTCATTTCAAAACACTGGTGGGTTGGTTGGTGGATTTTAAGTGGGAGGGCTTTCTTCAGAAGAACATGGGAAGTTTGGATTTCATGAAAGTATTTCAGCTAGCACTGAAATGTGGACAGAACCACAGGGGGTTGCGATATATGGGGAAATGTATTGAATAGACGGCATTTTTGCGGAATTGTGGAATTGCAGTGTATGGAAAGGTCACATTCAGCTTAATGGGAAGCAGGAATGGCCACGTGGCCTGGGCGTGCGGAGGAGCCGCTGCGGCTCGCGGGAGCCGCTGCTGTCGGCTCTGGGCTCTGGGAAGGGCCAAGTGGCCGTTTGCTGGGTGGGGAAGAAGGAAAACGGCCTGGGATGCCCCAAAATAACTGTCAGTCCTCCTGGTTCCCCAACGGCAAGGGGCTCCTTCTGCTCCCTGAGGCCAGGACGGGTCTGGGTCTGCTGTTGTTGGGGGTTGTTAAAGCAGAGTGTGCAGGGCAGGGGAGGCCGCGATGCCGCGTCCCGACTGATCCCAGCACTGATCCCGGTGCTCGGGGTCTCGGGAAGAGCGGGGCTGGCTTGGAGGCCACCGCGGGAGGAGCCAGGAGCACCCGCGCTGCGATCCGGCTCCGCTCCTGCCCTTCCTGCCCGGCGCACCAGGGCAGCGGGTTCCCTGCCGCTGGAAGTGCCCAAACGGAGCTCTGGAACGGCGAGCAGGGCACAGTGGGGAGAACGAGAAGGAAACACTGTGCCAGACAAGGTTCTGAGCCTTTAAGCTTCGTTTTCTAGGTGCTGTTTATCAGATTTAAGCCCTGCAATTTTTATGTAGCTTAGCTTTATTTAAGCATCTATCATATCTGCAAAAAGGATTTCATCTTTTTTGAGGGCAATATTTTTCAGTATTTTGGTGGGGCTCTAATTTGCCTTGCAAAAAGTAGGATTAGGCAAAGAATTTAAATACTACATTTTCTTTTACAGATATTAATTTCAGTGGAATTAGGTTCCCATTTAAAAAAAAAAAAAAAAGATAGAAATCAGTTTGTGAAACTTATCCTTTCTCAGGGACCTATTTATTTGATGAGAAACAGGAGCATGATGTGGATTCCTCTGCCGCAGCTCCTCAAAGCCGCTGGTGGGAGCAGTAGCCCCTGTCTCCCTTCTTGCAGCCCTGACGTACGTCTACAAGTGCGTTTTACAGAAAAGGTGCCTTAAATGTGCACAGCTCTCGTGCTCCTAACAGGAGCGCTCACGTCCTCCATGATTTTTACCCACTTTGTAGTAGTTTTCTTCAGCCTTTCTCTGGAAAACACCTTTACAGTTGTTCCTAGCTGGGTAGGAAACTAGATTATAGGAGTAAGAATTGATTAGTGTTTTATGGAGAGGTGTATGGAAGTGCAGCTGATGGTTGTGATCATGGTAGGGAAACACTTTACATAAACACCAGGTAATCTAACGGGGTAGGGTGGGAAGAAAAAGGCAACACAGAGCGAAGCTCATCCTTTGGCAATAAAGGTGAAAATCTACTTGTTATATTCAGAGGTGTATAATATGAGATATGTAAGATGCATGTAAAGTATATTAATACAAGATATTGAATAATCTGTTGCTTTTTGTCCCCAAAAAGATTTTTCAAATCTATAGTTGGCTTGATGTTTATAGGGATAATCTTGTTGTTCTAACTCATTTCCAATTGCGCTTCTCAACTTCCATGAAAAGGAATATATTATTATTTTTAGCCCACCAGTAAAATTCCATATTTTATTTTACACATTTCACATGTTTAATTTTACGTGTATTTTATTCCCTAACTTTCACTGTGCTTCTCCCCTGGTGAGACTGCCTTGTGCTCGGGCTGCCGTGGCGCTGCAGAGCGGCGTGCGGACGCTGGGCACGGTCCACGGGCACGTTTCCCTGCCATCCGGAAGGGAGGCCCTTTCTGGCTGGTTTGGGGGTCGCTCAGTGATGTCCCTCGCGCTGTCCCCGAGGATAACCCACAAACCAGCACAGTCACTGACTGCTCTTGTCGTGGTTTCAGGACCCGGGGCCGCCGCCGCCGTCGCCGCTGATGGGCCTGAAGCCTTTGCAGTTACTGGAGATCAAAGCCAGGGGACGGTTTGGGTGCGTGTGGAAGGCGCAGCTGCTCAACGAGTACGTGGCCGTCAAGATATTCCCTATCCAGGTAGGCAGCAGCGCTTAGTGGCCGTGTTACAAGAGCAACACCTGATGGCAAAGGAAATAAAGGAAAACCTGTTGCTAGTTCTTCAGTTTTGGGTTTTTGGTTTGTTTTTTTTTTTTTTTTTTGATTGTAGTATTATAACACTACTTGTAAAATCAAAGCACTGTAATGAGTTGCAGTAGGTAAAAGAGCTATCTGTTGCTGTGGTTCATAACCCTGACAGTTAATGTTGCTTTCAAATAATACAATTTGCCACTAAACAGAAATGGGACATGTACAAAGAAAGACACATTTATTCATATTTTTGATCCATTAAGTCATTAGTTTGTAGAATGAGCATTGTGTTCCTCTACACATTCATAATTCCAATATGGTCAGTCTATATATCCCTTTCATAGTAAATCCTGGCTTAACACAAACTAGATTTTCATCACCTTGGCAGACCATTCAGCAACACACAGGAATCATAGGAGGAGATTTCTCTCATGGAGAAATCTTTTGATTCCTATTATTAAGATATTAATTTGATTCTCTTTTTTTAGGACAAGCAGTCATGGCAGAACGAATATGAAATCTACAGTCTCCCTGGAATGAAGCACGACAACATTTTACAGTTCATTGGTGCAGAGAAACGAGGCACCAGCATCGACGTAGATCTCTGGCTGATCACAGCGTTTCATGAAAAGGTTTGTCCAGTCCTGGGGGTGGCAGATTTGCTTTTGAACGTAGTGCACAAACGCGCCTAAGGGGCTGATGAACTTCAGACAATTCAGAAATAAAATTTAAAGTAGTTTTCACTCACTTTTAGCTTGTATTATTTCACTAGGTATCAGTCTCTTCAGACTAAATGTCTTTTTGAGGATCATCTCCTGTAGCTCTCCCTAAATGAAACAAACTTGGAGATTCCCATGTTTTACTTTTGTTTTACTTAGATTGATCAGTTGATTTGAGTCTTTAAAGAAAGAAATATTAGGTATCAATTGCATTGTGATAACCACAATAAAAAATATAAATATATTAAGAATGTATTCAGTGTTTTACAATGAAATATTTGTTTAGATCTTTTAATGTGCAAATGACAGTGAAGTAAGTTTGAGGAGGGGGAAAAAAAATTCTCCTCATGCCCCAGGGATGATGCTAAGGTTGGTCGTGGCTCTCGTTTGAACTAGTGGGGCGTATGCGTGCGTATTGTGTGCTTGTGTCTCACTAAAAGGTGTCTAAGATAAAGGCAGGCAGACCTTGTCCTGTTCTCTAATGACAGAGGCCGACTAGAGGCCTCCCTTGTGGGCACAGGACAGTGACATTTGTCGGTAACTCTCCTTTTTCCCTCTGCTGCACAGGGGTCATTAACAGACTTTCTCAAGGCCAACGTGGTTTCTTGGAACGAACTGTGTCACATTGCTCAGACTATGGCTAGAGGTCTGGCTTATCTTCACGAGGATATTCCGGGGCTAAAAGATGGACATAAACCTGCCATCTCGCACAGGTAAGGCAATGCCAGGTATTTTCTGGGGCTTGTTAATATTTGACTTCGGGCTGAAGGCTCTGAGGGATTCAGAGAGTTGTTAGTTTTTATGAAATCTGGCTCCCGGAATAATAAAGAGCCTGATAAGAAAGATGTGCTCAGCCTAAAGGAAAAGCTAGCTGGTTGTTTACAGGGGGTGGCTTGGTGATCGTGGCTGGTGGCATGAAGTCCATTTTCAGGCAGTTAATTGTTGACACTCCTTATGCACTGTAGGAAATAATAGGGATTGGAGCTGCTTAAAACATCACTCGTACTGACTTTAAATAATATGAGGATCTTCAGACAGAAGTATAACTGTAAGCGATATTGTACCCGTTGTTGAGGGTAATTGCTGTTTTTAAATAAGGAAGGTATAAGAAGCTATTAAGGGAGGCAGAGAGCAGAAAAGCAGTGGTAAACAAGGTAGAAGGAAGGGAAACACGGATCCCTCGGAGCTCCGGGAGACAGGGTGTGCGAGCGAGCGCCTGCCCCCATGGGCTCCGCTGCCTGCTGCCCATGCAGGCAACTGGGTGTCCCCTTGGACACCATCAGAATTCCTTTTGGAATAGTGTTTTGTTCCCTATCGAGAAAACAAAACACAGCTATAATTGAGGAAACATGCAATAACTACATCTCTGTACTATTTCTGCGTCATATTTGCTTATAAACCAGTATATATTATAAAGCTAAGTATATAATGTTAAAAATAAACATTTAGTTGCATAAGAATAAAGATGTAAAACTGTACTTCTGTTTTTACTATTATCCTTTGTTGTGTAAATAGATTATTCATTTATATTTTTCATGCCTTTCATATTACTACAATTGTACATGATCTCTGTTTTGCTTTTTCTTTATAACTTTATACAGATTATTTATTATACAGACATATTTCATGTTCTAGATTTCTAATTTTTTTCCTTAACTTGAAAGGGACATCAAAAGCAAGAATGTGCTGCTGAAAAATAATCTTACAGCTTGTATTGCTGATTTTGGTCTAGCTTTAAAGTTTGAGGCTGGAAAGTCTGCAGGGGATACGCACGGACAGGTAAAGACCGATTTATTCACATATACGATGTAACGATTAACTGCACGAAATGCAAACTGAGAGCTTAGACATTCCTCGTGGCCTGCACGCTGTGTCATCATCATCTTTTTGTGGTCTCTAAAGATGGCAAGTTTGGCTTTCAGGCCACAGGATACAAGTTAGGCAATTGGGCAGGTTAGATTAAATAGATTTGGTTTTAGGCAAACCTTCGTAATTTATGGTTGAAGGACAAAAATAAAATCCATACAGTGGTATTACAAGACCTCAGTAACGTTCCTCAAAACATAATGTAACTCATAATGGTGCTAACTTAAATAGCAGGGTGGACCTTGTCTGTATATTGCATTCTCATTTGTTCATCTGAAATAACTTGACCAGTGATGATGGCCAAAATAAATGGATAATCATGAAGTTTTCATTTAATGTTCAAGCTTGTGTAAGAGATTTATTATAATTTTTGCAGAATAACTTTCAGTGTGGTGGCTTGTTTTCCTTTCTTTGCCTTTCCTGCCATGGAGAGTCTCCTTAAGTCAAACTGTACATAATCCCTTTGATATTTTCCTGCAATCTGGGGAAAAAATAAGGAACGGTGGCAACAAGTGTGTTGAATTGTTATGGAAATATATATTTTAAATTTCAAAATACCTTCAGATTCTCATAAACATAAGTGGGAATCACCAGTATAGCGCCTAAGCTATAATTATAATTTTAATTCCTCATTTTTTATGGGAAGAATACAAAACACTTCCGAGATGGATCCCAAAGCGAAGCTAATCACAGCTATAGTCCTCTTGTACGGTATTTCCATAACAGCAGCAGCTAGGTGAGGATAATGCGGGTCACGTTGGGTTGATGGTGACAGATGCTTGCGCTTTCCTCCCTGCCCAGGTGGGCACGCGCAGGTACATGGCTCCCGAGGTGCTGGAAGGCGCCATCAACTTCCAGAGGGATGCGTTCCTGCGGATAGACATGTACGCCATGGGCCTGGTCCTGTGGGAGCTGGCGTCGCGGTGCACGGCCTCCGACGGTGAGCGCGGCGCAAACGCGTCCCCAACGGGCAGGGCAGGGAGGGACTCGCTGCGGGGTCAGCGAAATGCCCGGAGGTTGGCAGCCCTGGGGGGAGACGAGCGCAACGCAGAGCCCTCCTCTCACCTTAGAACTCCCTCTGTTCGGCTTTGGGTGTCCCGAGTTGACGTGGGGTGGAGGTTTGGGCACCTCCAGCTCACGGGGGTGTCAGAGTTTCAAAGGAATCTTGGCTGAGTGGCTGCTAGCTCCTGAATGGCAAAGGCCGGAGGATGGGAGAGATCCTCTCGGGTGTTTTGTCCGCCAGGGAGCCCTAACAGCTGCTTTTCGGAAAAAGCAGATTGTGGCTTCCAACTGTTACGCTATTGAGATATCAGACACTATATTTTAAAATATGGCATTTAAAAAAAAAAAAAAGAAAAAATTGTGAATAGAGATCTTGGGCTTAATCAAAAACAAGCTGGAAAACAAAGCTGGGAAGTATTCAGGAGAAGATGCATTTCCAGTAGTCCTGAAGACTCCTGAGAGCCGCCGAGCACGGCGAGGCGCCAGGAAGGGCAGGAGGCTGCTCCCCCAGGGGGGAGTTTAGCCTTTGGAGAAGGATTTCCAGCCACAGGATCAACTCCATCCTGCACAAAACGTGAGGCAGCTCCGCGTTGGGCACTGACTTCATTATTATTTTTGCCCCATTGGCTCAGGGTGCTGTAAAACAGACTGACCTAAACCTGCTAGGAGCCTGTTGTAGGTGTCTCTGGTGGGAGTGGGGATAACTGCACAGTGCTGGGGATGGACATCACCCCTAGCACCAAACCTGCACTTCTGCCACCCTCCTCTTCCTCCTCTTCAGCTTTGGGGGTTTCTTTCTTTAATTCTGCTAAGGACAAGGCTGCACTCCTAGTCTCAGCCTAAGGACTTTATCCTGAGCTCTGTGCATTGCAGGATAACGTAGCACGTTTCCAGAGGCTGCAGCAGTTACCACTGCAGACTTTGGAGCACGTGTGATACTGAAAACCTTCCGTGTCCTGATTAAAACAGCTGCTGGCTTCTCGCTTGCTGCTCACTTGTCCTGGCCTCAGCATTTAGTGGCAACAAGAAGTGAATTACTCTGTTGTATTTTGATTATGGACTGTGAATCAAAGCTACTGGGCTTTTCTATCTATATATGCTGGTGAAATATGTGCATTTAACACGTTGTTGTTGACAGGCCCCGTGGATGAGTACATGTTGCCGTTTGAAGAGGAAATTGGCCAACATCCCTCCCTCGAAGACATGCAGGAGGTTGTAGTCCATAAAAAGAAGAGACCCGTTTTAAGAGAGTGTTGGCAAAAACATTCTGTAAGTAGCAGAGTGACCAAGATCTCCAAAGTTGTTGTGTTTTGGACTTGAGGTTTTGTGTCATGTTTCTGTTGCTCTCTTTTAGGAAGAACTTTAATAATTTTAGTTAAAATTAAATGGGTTTTGAGCTATATAGTCTTTGCTTTAAAGCATTAGCTTGAAAGCATTTGAACATTTGTTAGTGAGAAAAGTACACATTTTAATTTCAGAAATTAATTTTTAAATTTAATTTCAGAAATTAATTTAAAATGCGTACATTGGAATTACATTTAAAAAATAGTCTTGAAGCTGCGCCCTTCGGTGACTGTAATCACGTAGGGTAAGCAGCATTGTGTATGAAAGTTCTGGCCTCTCTAATGGAGAACTGCTTCTCTGTTCAGCTCGGGGTCTGCCCCAGTGCCCCCGATTGTGAGCGCTGTTTCCCCAGCGGGTGGTCAGAAGCACGAGTGTCTGCGGGACACAGGAGCAGACGTTGCCGCCGGCCGCTCGCGGTCAGCATGTTGCTGCATTGGCAGCAGTGAGAAAAGCCACGGCTGCCACACGTAACCCCTCGGCTGCTGCGTGGGTTTTCCTGCGGTCGCCCTTAATCGGCGAGAACCTCGACTTCTCTTAGCTTGAGAGCTTTCAAAATATCACGAGGACTTTACGGGCAGACCAGGACACTGGAGCGAAACCCATTTGTTGGCTGTTGCGGGTGTTTAAAGGGTGCGAAATGAGTCTGAGGGGTCCCAAATAAATGGGCCATTAGATGCTGGGGCGTGTTGTGGTTGTGACGTGTCGCCGTTGGGCTTGTCTGCTTGCAGGGCATGGCCATGCTCTGCGAGACCATCGAGGAGTGCTGGGATCACGACGCAGAAGCCCGGCTCTCAGCGGGCTGTGTGGAAGAGCGCATTATTCAGATGCAAAAACTCACTAATATTATAACCACAGAGGACATCGTGACTGTGGTCACAATGGTGACAAATGTTGACTTTCCTCCCAAAGAATCCAGTCTATGATAGTTGCACTGGTCACGTGCCTGACCAACCGGACTCTTCACTGGAGCTGCTAAACCTGGCGAGACTGCTCGCGTCGTTACTGATTTCTGTGTGGAAAGGACGGTAAGTCTCTCTGGAACATCCTCAAGAGGTGGTTTCTCCTTGATTTTTTTCCCTTCCTCTCCTCCCAAACATGGATCCGTGAGACTTTTGGCATTCCCTGCTCACACCTGAAGGATGTGTGACTGAGAAATGGTAACGTTATCGAGGAACTTAAATGAAGAATATGGACCTGTACTGGCTAATCACGTGTTTTAAAAACTGACATCAGATTTCTTAATGTCTGTCAGAAGAGACTAATTCCTTAAATGAACTACTGTTATTTTTTTTAAATCAAACATTTCATTTCAGATTTAAAAAAGGGTAACTTGTTTTTATTGCATTTGCTGTTGTTTATAAAAATGACTATTGTAATGCCAATATGACACAGCTTGTGAATGTTTAGTGTGCTGCTGTTCAGTGTACATAAACAAAAGTAATCAAGTGGGATATAGCAAAGAGGCTTCCAAGTATTACTTAACCTCCCTCAACAAGGTATACCTCAGTTCCACCTCTGCTAAATTATGAGATTGACAACACTAACAAAATTTGAATAATAAATTGATCCATGTTTTGTAAATGATGTATTTCAAATTCACTGTGTTATTTAAAAAGGGTAAGCTATGCTTCATGCCAACAGTAAATGGCCATTCCTAAAGCAGTGTTTTTAGCCTTTTCTTGTGCTAGCTTGTTGTGTATAAAAAAAGAAAAAGTGCTGTTTATTGAAACAAAATTTTTCTTCCTCTTTTTAGTTGATTTTTTTTCCTCTTACCTCCATTTCCCAGAATATCTCATGCATTTATTTAACTGAATACTAGTTAGGTTTGCTGTGTCTGAGGAATATTTGAAAACTTAAGCATGACTTTTTTTAATTTTCTGTGAGCTCTGACACTGGAAGGCTCTTAATTCTTATTCTTTTTCTAACAAGTCTTTTTCCTATTTATGTTTGTGAAAAGGTCTCTGCCCGCGTGTCTTCTGTCTCCCGGGGCAGGGGGCGGTGGGCTCTGCAGCCCTGTTTCAGGGTCACCTCAGGAAGCTCAGGTACCCCAAACTCCTTCCTCTGCTTTGAGGTTCACGGCCTCGCTCTGCTTCAAGCTTGGTGCCATCTTCCTGGAGTGCTGTTTAACGCCTGGAATACGTAGGTTTCTCCCCAAATCCAACTGAAAATCACAGCCACCGATTTCAGATTTCGACTGCTTACAAAAGTCAGGGACAACTCGGTTACGCTCGTAACTTAAAATATGCACTGGCTGTTCAGAGGTAACGAATACCACCACGTGTAGCACAGATGCACAAAGAAATGAGGACAAACATTGGAACTGCTTTAAGCACTCCAACGCTCCTTGAGCGGTTAGGAAGTCATGCCTTATATTTCACGGAGCAGTGACGGGCAGGTAGGTGCCAAAGCGCTCTGTGGCAGCGGGATCCCTGCCCTGCATGCCCGTCCTGCCCCCTGCAGCGTCACAAACCTGCCCCGTGCAGGGCTGCCCTGCTCGCCGGCCTCGTTGGGCACCACGTGTTCTGCCCCTGCTGCTTCCCCAAGCTCCCTGCAAAGGGTCTTCGTCACGCTGATCCCTGCACGCGGGAGCCCCGCTTGCTTCTATGTGAATCTCGGGGAAGGAGAAGGGATGTGATGGTGAAACGGGAGTTAGGAGGGCTTGGGAGCAGCAGCCGGACGGGGAACGCCGCAGTGTCCTGCTCGCCCCGTGCTCTTGTCTTGCCGCTGGTCACCTCTTTGCCTGAGGTTTCACGCAGCCCTGTCCTGGAGGGTCAGCACAAGCTGCTGTCGGGGTTCAGCTTGGTTATAAAATGAAAAAAATATCCAGTTTGTGGCCACTTTTTGGGTTGACACTTTCATTTTGCTTCCATTTTCAGTCCAGGGATGTTTTTCTGTGCACAGCAGGGCCTAGGACTAGCTGATGAGTTCTGAACAAATCCAAATCCACTTGTGCTTTCCTGCCACCTTGTGTCTCCTCCTGAGCTGGACCCCGTTCCTAGCAAGGGCGCAGTGGGCGCTGGTGCCTTCACCAGGCCGGGAATGGGCCCTGCGCCCAGGGGCTCAGCCGAGCACCGCCACAGGTCGCTGGGAGCCCTGGCGCTATCCCGCTGCTCCCGAGGTTTCAGCTTTTAGGAGCATAAAGGGGTAGCGCTGGGCCAAGGCTGGCCGGAGCACCAGCGCGCTCGACTGGGTAAACGCCGTAGCCAGAGAGCTGGGCGGGTAGGCAGCCGTTCGCAGGGCCGCTTCGCGCCTTGTTCTGGTGCCGTCACTGGAGCTAAGGGGCAGCAGGCTGCACCGAGGCCAAGGCAGCGTTTTACACGTGTGAAGGAGGGCAGGGAGCAGCGAGAGCGCTGTGGCGGGGAAGGGGGTGCCAGCGGCTCCTAGCAGACCTGGTATCGGGGTGTGGGCTCGGGAGGAGAGGCCAGTCCCTGGCCCCCACGTGCAGCTCCAGGCGCTGCAGAGCTGCTCCCCTTGCCCCCAGCCTGCACTAGAGGCCAGAGGCTTCTGTGGGGGCTCCTGTGCTGGCCCGCTCCTGCTCACAGAGGGGGCCCTCCCCTGGCTCCAGCCACCCCACGGGCTCAGCACGTTGGGTTTTTTAAATAAAAATCATTGTAAGCACCACAGCCCAGCGCTTGGTTTGCTAGCTGAAACGGTGCCAGACAGCAGCCTCCCCCTTCCTCTTCCTATTCGCATTCAACAGAATCAAGAGGGTTACCAGGCGGCTGCTCTTCTCCAGCATCTTTTTGAACCTTTTTTAATGTATTATTTTTATTAGGAACACTTGGTACAAAATGCAGAAAGCTGCAATATGGGCAAACTGATTCAAGTAGCATCCTTGATGGAACATCATTTACCTCAGATACTCAACCAGCAGTACTTTATTTTTCTTGCCTTTTTTTTTCTCTCCCTCTTTTTATTTTTCCCCCCCTTTTTTTTAAATGCCGTTTCAGTCCATTTACTATTTGTTACCTCTCAAGATTTTGGTAAGCAATTATTTTACCTTTACTCTTTGTATTTGTCAGTGTTTTGGGCACAGGTTGTTGTACTACTGTCAAAACGTGCTTGCTGTTTTTCTGCAAGTACTGAAAAAACCAACCAACCCCCCTGCCCTCAATAAAGTGATTGTTCAATATTGTACAAATAAAAATGTATGCTCTTTCTTCCCACCTCCCCCAAAAGTTAAAATAAAACATATGACTACTACACCTGCATATGGCATTTTTTCCAAGGGTAACACTCCTGGTTCCTGCTCGCGCTGTCGGCCTCAAGCCGCATTTCGTGGCGGACAGAAGGGGCCGTCGCTGAGGTGGCCGCAGTGAAGGCGGAATGTGCAGGGCCTCGAGGCAGCGCCCGGCTCCATCAGCCCCCGGCCCGCGGGCTGGTTTGGAGGCACCTCCTGCAGCTTCCAGGGGGCATCACCTCTCCCTTTTAAAAACACTATTCCTTGCTGTCATCCTACCTTCTCTAAAATCTGCTTTTGGGATAATTGTTTCTGCTGGAAATTTGCTCTGACAGGTTAATGTGCATCCAGAGGAGGCTCCCCTCATCTTACAGAGGTTACAGAGCTGTGCAAGCAGGGAGCCGCCCCAGCTCTACCTGTTACATTACTACTTTGCTGCTTTTCAAAGTATCTCTAGTCTTTTCAAGAGGTGGAGGTAACATTTAAAACTAACAAAGAACTAACTAAACAACAACTCCACGCAGCAGCTTTGAATTGCATTAGAAATGGCCCCATGCTGCAGAGAGACCACACTGAGGTTGCAGCACAAGCCCCCAGCCTTTTGCAGGGCCACAAGGGCAGCAACTACATGGGGCTTGATTTGAGATGAAGAAACTCAGGGAGTTGCTCTGATTTCTCTGAAGTCAAAACCAAGTGAGGGAAAGTTTGTGCTAAGCTGAGCTAGGCTGAGTTCAGTTAGTTCATAGCAAGTAGATGATAACAGCCTTAAAGTTCTCCTCAGATCCCACTCAAGCAGCAAAGCAGAAACTTTCCACTCATTCTTTCAAAAATTTTTTACCTGGAACACTCCCTGTAGGGAAGTGTTTCTAGAGCTAATTCCAAAAATTTTGACGTAGAAAGTGATTGTATTAGTTCCAAAGAGCTCACAGCCAGCTAAGGGACGACGTTGCCCACTGCTTCACGTCCGTGGGGCAGTTTGGATACGCCTGCAGCGCATCCATGATTTGATTGTTGTCCAAGAGCAGTTTCATTAGTAAATACTCTTTCTGAGCACGTACCGTGGGTCTCTCTACAGGTTTTACTAATTCCAGTTGCAGTAAGTGCTCAAATGCCTAAAAACAAGAGAACAAAAAGCGATTAGGAAGTGGGAGCTTGCATCCTCCCTGGCTCTAATACCCACACTAATCTGTGATTTAATACCCACAGACACACACCCTAGATGCCAGCTCCATTTTACCTTGTTCTATTTCCTTTTGGATAAATTTCAAAGCATCTTGCCCATGTGAGCAGAATAAAGGCTGCTGCTTCCCTTATGAAGGAAGCGTTTGAAAGCTGATGGGTGTCTGTGTGTGTAACAATGGGAATGACTTTGCTCCTGGGGAATAAAAGCCGGAGCAGTTAAACTAGAAATTGTGTCCTGTTCTCTAGGCATTTGGAATACATATAAGCTTGACTGCATAACACAGTCAGAAACCACAACTGTTCAGCTCAAAAGTGACAAAACTTCTCTATTTTCACTGCAGAAGTGCTGGTCATGGGGGTAAGTTACCATCTGTGTGCAGAGCTGGTCAAATGCTGTGCTCTAACTCCACCCCAAGCAGCAGCTCACTGAACAAAGCTGCGCAAAACTACATTAACAGAACTGCAGAATAGTAGCCCAGGCAGCCAACAGCAGCACTGAGTTTAGAAGTAATACTTATTCCTCAGCTTGTTGGGTCAGGCATCTATAAACCAGTCATTCATAAACCAGTCAGACTTGTCTAACCTTAAAGAAAAACAAGTTTTATAAACTGGTCTTATTGCATGAAGTTTTGGAGCTACCACTTCTAAGCAGCAGAATCAAACAAGGAACCTGGAGTGACCTTCCCACTGCCCTCTGACAGAGGGGACACAGGGAAGGGCATTTTGGATACAGCAACCTCCACCGACCCCAACTACTCCCTGCTAGTTCAGACCTCCTGTTTCCAAGGAAGCCCTTTTCTAGGACAGGAAGCCCGGAGCTCACAGAACACGGGCCATGCCCCTCAGAAAAGGGGGACAAGGCCCTCGGCTGCTCCTCCTCTGGCAGGCCAGTGTTTCCCTGCGCAGCTCAGGAGGCAGCAGTGCTGCTTCCCAGGCTGAACCGGGCTGCTCAGGCTGTGTTCGAAGACACAGTCATCTAAGACAAGTTCCATTCAAGGGTTACCTTCATGACGACTGGCTTCTCAAAGTTGTACATACAATGGGCCTTCCTCTGGATGAACTTCTGAAATTCTGTGTTACGGAGGGGGAAAAAAAAAGTTACTTCAGGAAAAAAATCATTGGGCTTGGGTATGTAAAGCTAATGCATTTCTCTCACCATTGTAAACCATCTGGAAGTTAAATGGTTCTCCTTCATAAACATCATTTAAGTGTTTCATAGCTATAATGAGGCAAGTTTCCAGGACAGACAAACCTAGAAGGAAAGACAAGAGCTCTAAATATTTCACTTAAGCATATCAGAGATGCAAACAGTTTACATGTTCTATTTTTAACCCTCAACTTACGATATGCTGTTGACCTCGTGGATTTTAGTGTTTTGGATCTTCTGTAATGCAACCAGCACCTCACATAAAGAGGCTAAACAAGTGAGAATATGAGTTTTCTGGGTGTATGAAGAAGGAATTAAGAAATGGCCTGCTTCTTACAAAGTACAAAGAATTTAAGTATAAAGAAAACAGCATTACAGATTGCTGTGATGCTGCTAAAAAATATTTGTCCTGCTACGCAACGTACAGCTTGTTATACATGTCATGAAATGAGTTTGATAAGATTATTTGCAATTCAAAGCTAAAGAAGTCCCATAGGAAATTAGCAGCACAACTCTAAGGGCCTTCTCAATAATCACGGGGCCAAAGCAGAGCCTGCAGAATCTGGAAGCCATAAAGAAACTGGGCACTAGCCGAGCTCCCTGTGTGATGACACGTGCATTAAGCGTTACACAAGCTGGAAACCGGGTTGCATGTGAGAGTACGGAGGAGTCAGACCTCTCCACGGGCACAAGTCTCCTTGTAGGAGTCTCTCCAGGCCCGGCCACGCTCCCGCGGTCACGGGGAAGGCAGGGCAGCCCAAAGCAAGCGGTACCGTGCACGATGTTGGCCTGCGAGTCGACGCTCCGCTGCTTGCTCGCCTCGAGGAGGTCGGCCACGGCCACCAGGGGGTGATGCACGGTGACGTTTCTCAAGGCAAGCATCTAGAAAGGAAGCAGAAAACACTAATTTACTGATTACTGGACAGGTGATGGAATACAAACTAACACATTTCCCTTGGAGTCACTGGAAACACTAACAAGCCAATCCTGAGCAGAGAGTGGGATTATACTGAAAATCTTCTAAATAACTAGTAGCTACATTTTGCCTGGGAGGTTTGAGACACAGAGCATCTGGAGCAGCGTGCACTGGACACTGAACTTCCCCTGGAAACAGGCCTCTCTTCTGACAATGCAAAATGACGGAAAGCTCCGAATTTAAAAATTGGTTGTCATTGTAAATGGAAGTCTTCGGTATTGGAAAAGTAGATAATTAGCAAGAGTAGCTGTTTTCCACCCCGAAATTGTGGAAGTTGCTGGGAAGCATAGCATCCGGGGAGACGAGCAAGAGGGCTGCTGATTTCAAGGGCTGCTTTCTCCTCAGCCCTGCCCGGGAGGGGAAGGCCGGGGCCCTTCCACCACACAGATACCCACTGCACAGGCACAACAGGCCCTGGTGATGACTTGGGATGAGTGGAGGAGCCGGCACGGAGAGGTGACCTGCTGGGCCTGGTGTTAGCAGATAGAGAGGGACCGGCTGGGGAGGGGAAGGCTGGCGGGAGCCTGGGCTCCAGCGAGCAGGAGATGGAGAGTTCAGGTCCAGCCAGGAAGCAGCAGGGTGATAAGTGGGATTGCAACCCTGGATATCAGGGGGGCAAATGGCCTCCTCAGAGACCAACCTGGAGGAATCCCAGGGACTAGGGCCCTGGAAGGAAAGGAACTCCAAGGGCCAGTCAGGATTCAAGCACCTCCTTCCCCAAGCTCAAGATGGGCAGCAGGGCAGGAGACTTGTGTGGATGAGCAAGGAGCTCCTGGCAAAACTCAAACAGGAGGAAGATGTGGAAAAGGGGCTGTCCCCTAGGAAGGGCTATAGGAATGTTTTCAGGGAATGCAGGGATGTGGTGAGGAAGGCTAAGGCACATAAAATTAAATCTGGCAAGGGATGTCAAGGACAACAAGGGCTTCTTCAAAGTGAAATTGTCCACCTCTACATCAGCTCTTTGGCTGGCATTCTCCAGAGAAGCCTCTTAACAGGATTTAGAAACCCCACAGCCTTGCAGCCGCAGAGAAGGGCTCAAGGTGCTGCCAAGCTGGAAATACCCTGCAATCTTGTAACCAACTCGAGTAAACACAGGCCTATCAAGAGAGGACTGTGTGTAGTAACGTTACTACATTCACGTTCACTGTGTTAGATCCTCTACAAAGGCTGGCAACACATTAAGCCTGCACTCCTCTGTTGCATGAGGAAGTTGGTTGTCAGTGTGGCCTCCTACTTACTGAATAGGGAAGCACTGTTTTTCACTGTTAACATAAGTGCAACTATCTTAGTAAGAGTAACAGTTATGGGATAAGAAGAGGGATGATGGCAACAAAGATGATAGCTGCAACCATCACTTATTCCAAAAGCAGCACAGAAAGTGCATGTACCTGCACAGAGTTATTCAAGAACAGGTCAAGAAACAGATAAGGGCTGGGCAAGAACACAGGAATTAACAGCAGCAGGAGAAAACCCAGAGTACAGCAGGACGCAAAATCACAGGGAAAAAAAATGGCACCAAAATATAATGATCTTGAAGGCAGGCAGTGAAAGAAGCAGCCCTTACAGGAATAGATCTAATAAAACAGGAAAAATGGTAGAAGTTGTTGGCAAAAAAAAAAAAAGCAGTAAATAAAAAGCAGAAAGCAACTTCTGCTGCTCACAGTTTTCAACACATGGCAACAACCAATACAAATCTCAAGGAAAAAATTGCTTTGATGACATTTCATCTACAGGTAGCTTTATAAATTACAAGAATTAAGCTGAATTTATTTGAAATATCCCCCCAACTCCACCATTTTTAATTAAAAGGCCACCTTCACAAAGAGAGCACTGTAAAAATCAGTAAAGCTCAAAACCACTAATGAAGCATGGACTGATGAAAACCTAAAGCAACAGAAGAAACACTATGTTTCAAAGCCTGCTCAGTAAAAAGATGTTTCAAGTACAGATTTGATAATTATTCATACATTACTGTAAATCCAGGAAGATATTGTATACTCATCCAAATACACACCAACAGCAAATGCAGCGAGCGGATGTCTTTGCTATGGTGGAACAGGTTTTGCAGTAGGTCCTGCACGGTTTTATCTTCTGAGAGATGCTTAAAAACAACAACAACACCACACATATTGTTAAGTAACATTTCAATCTTCTGAGCAAAGCACATCTTATTCACCTTAAAGGCTAGCTGACTTTCAAAAAGACCTCAGCCCATTGAACAATACAATCTCTGAAGTGCAATCTTATTCTTTTGGCACTTTTTCTGTGACCTAACTGTATCTTCAGAGCTCGGTTAAGTAAAAATTCTACATCCCAATTGATTTATCCAATACTAATCTTAGATAGTAAAAGGAAATACTGATGTTAGGTAAAAACTTTAAATAAAACCAGTTTGTAAGCACGTAAAGCTTTAAAAGTTTTCCTAGAAAAGGTATTAAGGACTTTAAATACCTGAATGTTATTATTCCACTTTTGAGCAAAGGCCTCATCAGGAAATTCAGCAGGAAGAGACAGCTGTTCTTTGAATATTTTAATGTATTGTTTAAAATCAAAGGAATTCATCAAATATATCTGCCGATGGGAGAACCTTGATTTTACTCTCTTCTCCAAGAGTTCCAGGACATCCTTTAAAAAAAAAAATTAAAAAAAATTCACCACAGAAATATTTGTTAGTTTACAAAAGATTACTGCAATAATCAGAAGTAAATAGTATAAAAATAATTGCTACATTCTCAGATTTAAAGTGTTTTAGCAAGACAAGAAAGACCTTTGCAAATTATTATAGCTGATGTGTCTTAAAATGCCTAACGACCAGCCGTTCATCCACATCACGTGCTGCACTACAACATGCTGGGTAATTAGTTGCTAGGATACTCAGCAAATTTCTCCATAGATTATGTAAATATTTCAGTGACTTCAGTCTGCATCTAAGATGCTTCAGCCTATCGTGGCTCTAGACAAGTTTCTAGTAGATATGGGGGTTGGCAGCTGTCATTTCTCATGCCTTTTGTCAGCCTGAAAAAATTTGATTAAAAAAATGAAAATCTTAAGAGCCAAGACTACAGTCTTAAGGTCATCACACAGAATTAAGCGAGCCTGTCAAATTGTTGTTGCAGGTACAGAATAGTTCACTTTTTCTAGTAATTTGTCCAGATGAATTTTACTCAAATGCAGCTAACTATATATAAGCTTTGATGAAAAATCTTTAATTTTTTGTCTTGCCATAACCTGGCTATCTTCACATTCACTTTATTTGGAAAAAGTGTGATTTTTATAAACTATTAGTTTCCCTACTGTTAGAAAGGTTTATCATGGTATACACGTGATCTGTCTGCACTTCCTTACAACATCATTGTAAAAACCACAGCAAGTTCAAAACAGATTGTAAATCCCTTTTGAACATGCTAATGTTACAGTGAAAATGCTCTACTGAAGCCTTTGCTTAAAAACTTACATAGTGGTGGATATGACTCTTCTGCAGTAACGCAGGACAAGGGCTCTTGTCTTGTGTCCTCCAACACAAGCTTTGCAGTTTTTTGGTCATCTAATCTTGTTCTGCACACTAAGTTATTTTTAATTCAAGAGTCTGATTAACAGAAAATTGAGAAAAATCTGCTGGTAAATTAAGCAAAGTTCCAAAAGCAGGGAAAACATTCCAATTAAGACAAAAGTCTCCTAAAAACAGTTGAAAATATTCAACAAGAGCCATTTCTTACTTGTCTGCATGTAAGTCCAATAACTGTTACGGGAGTCTGTGCAGACTGGGATATATCGAAGAGGTTATAGAGCAGTGTCTGATTCTTGTGATGAACAAACAAGTCAAATTCATCCAGTACAAACAAGACCGGACAACTGCTGGTTCGATCACCTGAGAGAGTAATTTAAAAGTTAACATCACCGACATGGTAACTGCACAATCAAACTCTCATTTTCACAGCTTTTATATATTTAGGCTTTAACTAGTTTATTTTCTTTTAGACGTTTCACTAGCACCTTCTTTCCCATACACATTGCTACAGCACTACAAGGAAATATACACAGAAGAACTGGTGAGGTTTTGTACTATTCTGACAGACATAAATGCTGAACAACAACAGAGACTCCTACAGCCAATATTTAAAACATTATTTTTAATCGGTGCAACCTGGATAAAAGAGCCTGTCCTTCATAGCAGCCTGGCAGGCATAACTCTTCATGGCATTGTTTAGATTAGGTCTGTATCTGATCAGTATTACAAGTATTTTACACTGTTTTGCAACCGTGAAACATTCTTCAGCAAGTTTTCCTTATAACACTTGTACAAGTAGATGGAGAAACTTTAGACATAAAAATAGGTGAAAGCAGCATGATATGCTACTTTTTCAGTGAGCTGACAAACAGAAAGGCATATTATTTTAAGAGAGAGACTGACAGTGTGTTTACCTTTCCTTAAAGCTTCAAGAAGGAACACAAGATTTTCAGCAAAACTGCCCTAAACAAACAAAAAGTTTCACAATAGGTTTTCAAGGTTATTCTCAGGTTATTACATGACTACATCAAGTTCAGGCATGTACTGAAGACTATTCCTTATTAAAAGAAGATGCTGTAAATGTGCAGTTGTTAAATCTGCAACATTGAGATAGATGGAAGTTTCATACCCCTCCATGTCAGAGAAAGCAGTGAGAGCTCTGACCACTCTACTTCAATTTACTCAACGTAATACAAATACAAAATGATGGGAAGTAGCTGTAATTGAAGACCACAAGCTATATTGTAGGGGGCAGAAAAAAAAAAGAACAGTTTTAAACTCCTTGAACTAGAACTGGAGAAGGTGATAGAGAAGTTTCTATGGACAGACGCAAGGACACTCCTGCAAATCAGCATGTTTCCATGCATGTGTGCAGTGGAAGAGATTAGATATTTCTAAGAGCTTTAAGTAGGATGACACAATAGCACAGTTGAGAGGAGGGGAAGAGAAAAGCAGAGGAAGTTCAGATAGCCAAGTCCAGTTTTGTCTGTAGCTTTCTTTAGTAGGGGAACTGCAGAACATGAAAGGTTGTTCTAGTTCTCTGATGAGAACACAATCAACTATGCTGCAATATATATACCAGCAAGTATTTAAATGAAAATCCTATGCAAAAATGAGAGCTCTAGGAAGCCAGTGACTCGGATAGACCTCCCTATGATTTAGACAAGGTTTCATCTATATTAAAGATGCTGCTCTTTGCTTAGTTAACCTTCCTACTCTGTGTTGAAAGACTGAAGGAGATGTTTCTGAACCTTCCTAGTCCACAGAAGTCTCTTTGAAACGCTTAATATTTTTTTCATTTTCACTCTTTTTTGTTCTTTTTAACATGAGCTTCAAACTAATGTTTTTTGAAAAAGTATCAGGATGCATTAATACCACTAAACTAGCAAAATGCCATGTTCAGCCCTTCTGTAGAACACAGGCTGTTTTGGGGAGGCTTCAGATGTTTTTAAATCAGAGTCTTCATAGCTTAGTGCTACTACAGCTATCAATTACTACCTATTTTAAAGCAGGAATGTATGGGAAAATTGCAAAAAAAAAAACAAAAAACCCCCATACACCACACCACAATTTTAGTAATAAATGCACAAAGTCAACTTAGTCTCAACAAGCTGCAATCTTTAAAGCTATTTTTCCAGTCAACTTTTAAGGGAGACAAATAAAGTCAATACTTACAAAAACTTTATCCCCAACCACATTTTCCAGGTGTAACTGTCTGGTGATCTCCTTCAGGGCCACTTTATCATTAGTCTGCAAAAGCCCTGACACAAGAAATTTTTATTTTAAATGAAGAAGTTGCTCTTCTCTTTTATGTCAAGAGGCTACATCTACAGTGAACAGAAATATGGCCAGAAGTTGCTCTCAGCCTTACAAAACTATACCATTTTACAAATTAAGACTAGATTGTAACTCTCCATAAAATATTTCAAACAATTAATTCACAACTGAACAAAATTTTTAACATTTCTGGAAAAAAAGTCATCAAAAGCACACTGGTTGCTTTTATATAGATAGAAAAAAGGAAGTCATTGTTGACTTCAAAAAAAAAAAAGTGCACATATTAAAGGTCTTTTTACAACCGCTGAGGTGCAGAACTGTCATTGTGCATGTGGAATATAAAACTGAATGTAACATAACATTTGAATAATGCTGTATTACTTACCATTCAGGTGGACTTTCAAGAGGTTCTCTCTAATTTGTTTTATTTCCATGAGCTCTTTTAAGACATGATTTAACAACTAGGGAAAAAAAGATGACATAATTTCTCTATGACAAAATTATTCATAATAAAAAAAATCTACAAATTAACATCATCAGATAGAAAACTATTTGCAGTTTCACTGGGTAACTGTTCTAAAGTATTTTCAAGACAAAAGTATTAATACAAAAACTTCACATTCAGTGCAATGACTGTAGCTGTAACATTTGTTAATTACACTGAACTATTAGGCAAAGATATAAAAAAAATACATCCAGGACTTCTGCCTCAATCAAAAAAAGTTTTAGCAGTCTTACGGGGTGACAGTATTTTCCACTTGAGCTAGTATAAGAAAGAGTTTCTTTGAGAAAGCTTCATTGATGATTATTCACTAGATGCTGTGCAACAGAATGCTTTGCTTTGAAGTCATAAAGACACTATCTTTATTCATTTCATCTTAAAAATTAGAAAGCACAAGGCAAAGCTAAGTTGCACGTAATTATATGAACTACTGTTGTTTACAGTCAGAAGACAACAGTGGTAACAGGATAGCTTTTAAGGGGTTACCAAGCAAAACAAGCTGATAAAAGGTCTAAGCTACAGTGTATCTAGACCACAGAAAGAATACCAAAAATGAAACAAGGGCAAGTTATTCTGATAAAATGAATTAAAATATATACTGGGCCCCTCTATCATGTCATAAAATCTGGTCAAGTCATGCAAAGGATTCCCAAAATAAATAAGCTCCTGCAAGCCCATGTGAGATTAGTTAGGTACTCGATTTTGTAACTGTGCATGAAGCTATTCTATTATTTAAATTTTATAAAATTATTATGTAGCCAACCTAGTGAAGTTTTTGAAGTGATAGAAAATAGACTTCTCCATTTTGTTATTCATAGAATTACCTCATGAGAAACCACTGAAACGCTTTCCAGTGATATATTCTTAATGCATGATTTGAACATTAACATAAATATTAACATGATCTCTTTAAAAAGAAGCCCAGAGATCTTAAAAAAGGCTCTAAAAAGCTGCAAATACTCCAATGAGGTAATCTACCTCATGTTTGATTTGACCTTGCATAAGCTTTTAATACATGTTTATACCGTAGTCTTTCCTGATCCTCGAGGTCCAATAATGAGAGCAGAATTACTTTCTCCATGAAGGGTGGTGCGTTTCAGCAGTTCCAGCAGATGTCTGCATTGAAAACAGCAGTAGGTTACACTTCAAACCAGCCAGCATTCACTGAAACTACGGAAAATCCAAAGAATCTTTAGAATGTAAGAGAAAGCTCAATGCGTTTCAACTTGCTTTCAGAGTTAACACTCTTGGCATGCAAAGTACAATGAAGTACAAAAAGGCTGAATGATGAGACTACTTGAAAATTTTTAAATATTCAAACATGCATAAGTCAGGGGTATCACTAAAGTCTTGCAACTGTTCACTATGAAAGGACAGACTTAAAAATTTAGGCCTACAAAAACTAAAACCAACCAAACAAAAAATAACAACCAAAGACTGTCCTTTATGATACCAATTGAAACCTGGACACCAACACACCAATATGATATTAGTGCTATTATGATACTGGATATTATACATTAGTAAAATGGATGCATTTTGACAATCTTGATAAAACTGACTTTATACTAAATATACATATTCAAAACTTGTTAGTGCTAACAGCAATACTGAACTTTCTTCAAATATGTCTTTTCTGCTTGCCTAAGGGAGTGAAATAATGTCTCTAAATGTCCTTCATAAAAAAAATCAATCACCCAATATCACATTCAAAATATTTATTAAAAAGTGACATTTCCAATTTACAAATGCATACAATAAACTTTTAGCAAGAATACATCAGATTCACATGGCATCACTTAGAAGAAGTGCTACACTTCCAAGCAGTGATAAAGTGATTACGGATGAGCTACAGCAAATGCACTTTTGCTTACTATTGCTTACCATTTGCAAGCTAACAACAGTGGAGAGTCCTGATAAGCCTTACGAAACAAAAAATAAGAGTTGGGAAGTTTATTATGTCATTTCTCCAACACTGTTCATCAACACTGGCTTGTTTTGTAATATATCAACACGACAGAAATATACTTTCTCAAAACTACACAAACACATCTACATGAGATCTGCATGAAAGACATAATGTTTTTTAAAAATAATGAAAATACTATTTTCCTTCCTTTAATGGAAAGGAAACTAATGTCCACATAAAGTGATTCAACTTAAATAAAAAATTATCCCTACTATAAATATTAACCAATGCATTTCAAGTTCTTTAGAGACATGTTGGTTACTTTTAGAATTCTTCCCTATGGCTGTAAAGGTATTAGTATTAAGACAGTTGATTGCCACTACCCAGTCACTGAGACTTCAAGATTTAAAATAAGTCTCATCTACCCAACTTCTTAATCTTCACATCTGGATTCCAAGAAGCAGCCTTGTTTTTAATGTGGGTCTATGAGACTACTTGGAGAAAAGTGATCTCGGCATCCAGGGTTTCAAATTTACCTCTAATAGTACCAAATAGCAGAAAATGTGAATGAAAAATAAACAAGCACAACAGGATAATTTAACTTTTTGCTTGAACAGTTCATTAAACGTAAACTTGGAACATGTGCTGGAGGTTATCTTCTAAGCTACAAAGAAATATTTCAAAAATTGTGTGTTTACAACACAGCAAATAACTTAATACTCAGAGCCTCGCTACACAGTATAAAACCTATTAAAGGTTGAGACAACTTTTATAGCAGCACTGCATTTCAAATCATTTAAGTTTGTGTGTGATTTAGAAAACTAGAAGTAGCAAAAAATCTGAATTTTACTTGATTGTTTTTCTACTGAGGTTAAAGTAAAAAAAAATGTGTATGAATCTGCTTTCTCACTTGTATTGCTGATCAATTCCAAACAGCTTTCCAGTTGTACAGTGGTGACAGAATCGTTCACGTAAAATTCTTTGTACCTATTGATATAGAACAAAATTCAGGGAAAAAAACATTGATTGGCGCTTCAAACATTAGAATGCAACAATAATGTAATAACTATAGGTAAAAAAATAGAAACATATTGATGTTTGTAGAGCTATGTACCATGTAAGCTTTAACTGCCATTGACGACATACGGTCTTGAAAGTAAGAATGAAACTGCAGTAAGCACAGTATTTAGCAGCAGCAGAAAAAATTCAGCAACAGTGATGTATGTCTAGGGTCCCTTCTATTACAATTGCTTTCTTTCACCCTTGAAAGGATGTTATTCAACATTCTGATTGCAATGATCAGTAAGATAAAAAAACTGAAATATTTTTCTTCCTCAAGTCTTGCGTATAGAATACAGTATTTTAACTGTGAGATGGGATAGATAAATTTATTTCTGCACTGACTTCCCGTTTTTCACTTTAAGAGCTATTTCTTAAAACTATCCTCAATACACGTCAAAATGGCAAACCTTTAGCAGCATACTTACCTTTCCTACTACTTGACCAAGAACACACAAACGGGACAATCCCAAATTTCTTTTTTATTTTTTTTTTAAACAATTTACAGGGCGCTACCACTAATACCCAATCCTCATACAATCTATATGTGAATACTGCATCCTGTAACACCTGGTGTGCCAATTTAAATGCTTGGGGTCACAGCAAAGAATTGCAGAGATTAAATTACAAACATAATGAAATAAACTTCCTCAAAAGACACACACATTAACATCCGTAGTTTCATTGACCTTTAGGTAGGAGTTATATCTGTATGTCATTTTTAGCTAATTAGCATTAACTAGCCATTGTCATTGAGTACATCCCTAGCAGGTTTTTAGTACTAGGAAAATGTCATTTCTGTTAGCTAACTTAAATTCATGACAGAATTACCACTATAATTTCTGGGGTGTTAGTTTTAAAATAAACACACTTTCCCCCCCAAACTCTACCACATATTCTTACAGTAAGTCCAAATAATGGATAAAAGAAGATTAAAAAACCATTTTGGTAACAATTTCACTATGAAATGATTTTAATAGATCACCTGTGTATGTCTGATTGATGAAGGTTTATAAAGATGTCAGAGAATGGAAAAGTTTCATAACTCAAGCCAAACCAGATAATGAAAACATTACTAACCTGTGAAATGCATTCTCCATTTGCACTGCTAGTCTCCTTCAGTTTACGTTTACTCATTGCAGAAATGTTCACCTTAAACAAGGAGAACATAAAACAGTTACCATAAATTACTCTGTATTCCATGTTAGTCAATAACTGCACTTGATATTTTAGTAGACCGAATTTAACATAGGTGATGTCACAGTTGCCAACTTAAATTCTTTTAAGTTTTAATGACTTTTTTTGACTGAAGATACTAGACGCATCTTTATATCATTTCTGAGATGAAATGAATATTTATGGACAGCTTCTGAACTTCATTTGTTCTGTTAACGTATCACCAATGCAATGCAAACAAAACAAAGCGCCTAGTGCAACTGTTATCAGAAAACTTCCAAGTTTTTCTAGACAGCACTTACTTAAGATGAGGGCAATTTTGTGTCTCTGAGCAACATGCCAAGGACTACTAAAACAGGTTACACACAAACTGAACTTGCATAGAACCGGCCCACTCGAATAGCTTACACAGCTGCACTTCATTCTATAGTGTGTTCTAACTCTTTGGACAGGAGTTGCTACTTTTTCACAATAATAAATGACTGTCTATATTTACATGGGCACAGATTATGTTCATAGAAGAACATCATATTAACATAATTAATGTAACTATATTAGGGAGGGTGAAGGGAAAGGGATAATCACAGTGCCTCAAGAAATACAGAGAAGGGAGAAAGAAAGAATGAATGTGTGTGTGACAACATAAGCTATTTTGAAGACTTCTGCAAGCACCCTTCCCTAGCTAAGAATCTTGGGGGGAGAGGGGGAAAGCACAGAGAAAATTTTCAAGTCTAAATTGATCTTCTCAATGCATAGGAGTTATGTAGAATTTTTAGTATGATTAGGTGGATAACATTCAGCTTATTGAGACTGCAGGTGATCTCATTGTTATTTCTTCTTATTTTTCTTCTAATCACTGTTAATTCCAACCACATGCAGTCTGAGGGGTTAAGTGCAATGAGTAAATTTTAATAAGCAACATCAGTTTGTAAAAATCAGGACCCCTTCTTTGTGCCTACAGAAAACACTTGTGCCTTGATGCAACGGAAACAAGGAACTGATCCAATTCAGAAGTTTCACAGCAAGTAAACATGAGGAATGCACAAAGCCCTATTTAAGCATCTATCAGCAACCTATAGTTAAGATGCACCCCTGCCTCAATGCTCTCAAAGGATCTTTCCTCCTGCTTCTACCAATAAAACCTGAAACAATTACAAAGCATACCAGAGGTAAGCCATGATTTTCCTAAGTATAGAGCACTTAGAGCAAACACATAAGAACAAAAAATAATTGCCCAGTATTTTTTTGCAACCAAGTCTTTACATTTGGGTATACTTAATTGTCTCGAGCTAAACTCTCCGAAATACAACCTTATATAACCTGCAACACTTGAATTGCCTAATTCAAGCACTGGAACAGGCTGCCCAGAGAGGCTGTGGAGTCTCCTCTGAAGATCTTTAAACCCGCCTGGACGCAGCCCTGTGCCATGTGCTCTAGGTGACCCTGCGTGAGCAGGGGGGTTGGACTAGACGACCTCTGAGGTCCCTTCCAACCTTCGGCATTCTATGATTCTATGATTCTAAAAAAAAAAATTGTGAAAGTATCACAGCACTATGAACCATCTTGGCAGAAAAGGCTTAATACATGAAACAGAATATGAGCCCCAAAACTTTAGTAGATGATAGGCAAAAATACCTGGCAGCTAGCACAACAGTACACTTTTTTCTACAAAATACTACCAAATACCTCACACATCCTCAATCCCTTAAGTCAAGCTCCTGTTGTCTACAATGAGGACACAAAAGTAAAAAAAAAAAAAAAAAAATATGGTTCATATATAAAAAAAAATTACATCACGATAGAGGGTAGAGTACAAAAAAATTGTTTGAGGTCATTTGCTTGCTAGAAGGTGAGGAATAAGGAATAGCTCAAATCCCTCTCATAACTTTTATCTTTAGTCTTAGTGAAAGAATGAAAAAAAATAAAAAAAAAAGCCTTTAAATGTTTAAATGTAGGGCTCATTTAGGAGAGACGCCAGCACAGCAAAACTTGAAAACGCCCATGAGGTTAAGAAGCAGTCAGCTGCTCACTGCACAGAGAACCAATTCACCTGTGAAAAAGCATCCGAAAGGCTGCCATTCACCATAAGGTATTTTAAGGTGTAACCTTAAAAATGTAATTTTTCAGAAAGATTGCTAGTTATTAAGGTTTATCCAGCCCTAAGAAGTCAAGAAACCTTTGCAAAAGTGCCAGTGATAGCATTCAAGAGGGCAAGGAGCCAGAGATATCGAGACAGTAGGAACTACTCTTAGACCATGTCCTCTTGTGGCTCTCACTCTGCAAAGCAGCAAAGTCTTCCCACTTCTTTTGCAGCCTTCAAAAGGGGAGCAGAAAATCAGCCTTGCAGATCAGACCTGAAAAGTTTCAACTCCAATTTCATTAAACCCCAAGACCATCGCTCTGTAGTATTTTAAGCTTGCTTAACAGCATCACACAAAATTAGTGCCCTTTGCTGCCTGTTTTCATTCTTTTATTGCAGGATTACCTAAGCAGCCTAAGCCAGGACTACCTGTTCAGTGACCCGGTGCAGCAGCTGCACCTGCAAAGAGCCAGCTGTTAAATATAAAAATAAATAAAGCCAATGTGGAGGCAGGCACGCAGGAACACCAAGGCTGTGAACAAAAGGCTGCAACAGCAGAACTGCAGAAATGAGGTTATTCAAACCGCTATAAAAAGAATAAAAATAAAACAAAAACACTAGAAGAACAACGCAAGCAGAACATCATTGTTCACCTCCCCCTACTCCCATTCCCTGGGGGAACGGAAAGAAAGAAAGAAAAGAAGGGCGCTTCAGAAAGTTATACGGAAATACTGCAACGACCACGCAATGCCTACGTTTTACCGAAAGCAGCAGAATTTTAAACGAAAGCAACCCACGAGGAGCGGGGGGAGGGAGCTCATCGCCACGCTCTCCGCCACCGCCCAAGCGGCCCCCAACCCGCAGTTCGGAGAGCGGGCCAGCTCTGCCGGGGCTGCCTCCACCTACCCGGCCGCGCGGAGCGGGCGAGAAGAGGCCGAGCGGGCGGGCAGGGGCTCCGCGCGGGCAGCGCCGCCGTCCCCACCTCAGGCGCCACCAACGGCCGCACCAACGGCCGCACCAACGGCCGCGCGCTCCCAGCACACCCCGCGCGCGCGGGCGGGCACCGCCCCTCACGTGACCACGCCCAACAGGGGCTCACTTCCGCCCCGCGGCGAC